GGAGATACTCATAGAGATAGCTAGAGTAATTCCTGAAACCAATGATAACCCAGCTCAGTGACATTTTTGGGTCTTGGGTAATGACATAACAAGCACCCCCACATCCACTTGAGACCACCCCTCCAGATATCATGAATTTCCACTAGATGTTATCAAATTGTGTTTTCAACATTGTTTGAACATAAGAATCACCTGGGTAGCTTTTTAAAAAACATTGACGCATGGAGCCCATCCTCACAGACACTGTTTTCACAATGCGACAATTCCATTTTTAAATATCTAAAAATTACGACATGCCATCAGTATCAAGACTCACTGCTATATGGCATAAAAGTACATCTGCTATTGCCTCTTGAAGAGACCTCTCAGCTCAAGATGAAGCTTCAGTATTATGAAAACAATCTAGCAGAGAAGTTTTCAGTCATGCAGTTTTAGATACACACTAATTACTCAGAATTCCAGGAAAGCAGTTTCTTCTAGGAGTTTTGGCAGCCTGTGTAATACATTTTTATTTTTTTTTTGAGTTGGAGTCTTACTCTGTCACCCAGACTGGAGTGCAGTGGCCGCTCCCGGCCACCACAGCCTCGACCTGCTGGCCTCTGGCAATCCTTCTGCCTCAGCCTTCCAAGTAGCTGGAACTACAGGCACGCGCCACCATGCCTGGCTCATTTTTGATTTATCGTAGAGATGAGGTCTCGCCAAGTTGCCCAGGTGGGTCTTGAACCCGCGGGCTCAGGCAATCCACTCACGTCAGCCTCCCAAAGGCACGGGATTACAGGCTGAGCCACCGAGCCCAGCCAATACATTCTTAACCTATACTTTTGGAAGATAGAAGCTCATCAATCTCCTGATATTCTGGATGGTGTAGGCAAAGATAAAGACTTACAAAGGTGCCATCTCTAATCATAAAGCCTGCCCTAATGACTACAAGTCTTGCCCCAAGACCATGTGGGTGATTCATCAGGAAATCCTACCCTAGAGAAGTACAGGCCTAGATTTGTCCAGAACCACATGACCAAGGACTTCCTTCCTCTTCTTTTATTTGGTTATTCACTTAATGTATTGAAAAAAAATTTCCTCAGTACCTACAACATGCTTTAGATACTTGAGATGCAAGCTGAACAAGACAGAAAAGTTTCTAAACTTGCTGTCATTTTCAGCTACTATGTAAACTCCATTAATTGGGAAATTATGTTTCTTTGGTTTTGTTTTGTTGTTTTAAACATCACTGTATCACCTACGCTTAGTCAATAATAGAGAATCAGTAAGTATTTCATGAATAAATGAGCAAACAAATTAATTAAACAAAATAAAAGAACAAGATGCTATAAGAGGATGTACATAGAAAACGAAATTACACTAGGAGATTAAGGAAGGTTCTCAGAAAAAAAGAGCATGTTCAAGGTGAGATTGGAGTGGTGATTAAGGAACAGCACAAAGGATTGAAGACATGAGGGAAAAAAGTGGCTCATCTTGAAAATATAAAGCTCAGTGTGGCTGGAGCTTAGGTGGATAGAAGTGAAATTGGAGAATTAAGATGGGAATAGATCATGGAGAGTTCTCTAGACAATGTACATTAGCTTGCTATTGCATCTGTATCACAAATGGCCATGCGTTTAGTTGCTTAAAACACAAATTTATTATCTTTCAGTTCCAGAAGTCAGAAATTCATAATAGTTCTCACAGGGCTAAAATGAAGGTGCCAGCAGGGCTAGATTCCTTTAGAGCGGCTCTAAGGAAGAATCATTTCCTTGCTGTTCCCAGACTCTAGAGCTGTCTGTGTTTCTTGGCATATTGTACCCTTCATCCATCTTCAGAGCCAGCAACAGCAGGTGGAATCTCTTTTCATGCTTTGAATTTCTCCTACCTCTTCTTCTGTCTTCACATCCCTCTGACCCACTATTCTGCTTCAAAGAGCTCATTTAATTAGATTGGGCCCACCAAGATAATACAGGATTATTTCCCCTTAATTACATCTGCAAAGTCCCTTTTGCTGTGCAAGATAGCATACTCACAGATTCCAGGGATTAGGATATGGACATCTACTGGAATCGTTATTCTGCCTAAACCAGGTTAGAAAATTTAGATTTCATCACGAGCAATGGGAAACTACTGAAAAATTTTGAGTAAGGAAGTGGTAAGATGAAATTTGCATTTAAAAAATACCCCTCTAAATGCTTTGTGGAAACTGGGCTAGAAAGACAGTTTTGTCGTCATCTAGGATAGATGTAATGTTAGCGTAGACCAGAGAAATATCTGAAAGACATGAAAAAAGATGGATGGATTTGAGAGTCATTTACAAGATTGCAAACAACAGGTTTTAGTGGTCAATTACATGTCAGAGATGAGGAGAGGGGTTCAGGATGAGACACATTGCATCCAAGTCTCTGGCTGGGATGACTGTACAAATGGAAGGGCCATTTACCAAGAAAATAAATACAAGAGAAAAGCAGCTTTGAGTGAAAAGAAAAAACATTGGATTCATTTAGGGATACACTGAATTCAATAAGTCAGGAGGACATCTAAGTGCAGATGTCCAGTTGGAAGTTAAATCCAAAAGTTTAGAATTCAGAAGAGATGTCTGGACCACACACTTATCTCTACATGTCATTGGCATAAACATGTAAACCAAAGCTCTGGAGAAAGAAGAGAGAAAGAGACAGAGAGACAAGACCTCGAGGGGGGAAAAAAGCCATCATTTGAAGGACTATCAGAGGAGGAGTAACCTGTATAGTAGAGAAGTATTAGGCAGAGAAGAAAAAATAGTAAAAGGAGTCTAGAGTCATTCAGTCTAAGGGAAGAGAGTGTTCAAAAAACAAGAATGCTCGATGCCTTGAATGCCATGAGGAAGTTCATAAGGATTGAAGGAACTAGTCAGGCTCTTGGCAGTCATCACTGACTTGGGCAAGAGAAGTGCTCATAGGGCAGAAAGGTAGAGAAGTCATTGGGATGCAAGGAACAAGAGACTAGTGAGCAAGCCACTTTCTCCAGAAACTTGACTAAAAAGAGAGAGAAAGTAGAGGTAGCCAAAGGGACATGTAGGATTGAAGGATGAAATAATATTTTTTTGGATGAGAGAGAAACATAAATATCTCTCTAGCAATTCCTTTACAAAATGTCACTGTGACGGACAAATGGGAGATGGGAGTAGCTGGTATAACATGTGAAGTCTGGGGAGGATGTTTGATTTGTTCATCCATTAGCTTGTGTTTAATGTCACAACCTCCAACACGTTCTACTAAAGATGAAAAGGAGCTGGTAGTGCAGGAGAGTTTAAAATGGAAGAAACATTCAACTGATCAGTGTCTCCAAGAGTAGCTGGGATCTAGCACTTTTGTGGAGAGAGGGGGCTCACTAGCCTTCCCTCTGTCGTAAGAGGCTTCTTTATAGGAAGGATAGATACTGGGTCAGAGAAGTAGAGGCAGGGAGTATGTAGGATTCTTGTTTGGTAGCGTCTGTTTTTTACAGTTTTTCTTTTCTTGTCATTTAATGAAACAATTGTCCCAGGTGAGGTTGCAACCAGAAGAGACTCAAATGTAAACCAAGAGAAAAAGAAAAGTTCTGCTAAGCTTTGATTTGGGGAATGGAAGGGCAGCCATAAGTGCCAAAATATATGATGTTAAAACTCAGAAAGATCAGGAATAAGGCCTGAAGTGGACTGTGAAGTGGTAAAGCATCTAGCTTAGGATGTACAGAATACGGAAAGGGAAAGCCTGATTTATGAGGCACCTGTTCCAGGAATGGCAGGACCTGCTGGCTTAAATTTGCAAGAGAATGAGGCAACTCAAGACTGCCAGACTTGGGGAATAGGAGGGGCTACAAAGAAAATGAAACAAGATTTCCAGCTTCAATGAGTTCATAATACTATTGGAAATATAAGATTAATCAATATAAAACACCTGGCAGGACGCCTTGCTAGTTTTCTTCATCACTATTATTGTGTTGCGGTGGTTAGGGTAGACATTAAATTAAAACACAATACAGCCGGGCTTGGTGGCTCAGCCTGTAATCCCGCGCCTTTGGGAGGCTGAGGTGAGTGGATTGCCTGAGCCCGTGGGTTCGAGACCCGCCTGGGCAGTGAGACCTCATCTCTACAATGAATCAAAAAAGTCAGCCGGGCGTGGTAACGTATGCCTGTAGTTCCAGCTACTTGGAAGGCTGAGGCGGAAGGATCACCGGAGCCCAGCAGGTCGAGGCTGCGGTGGCCGGGAGAGGCCACTACACTCCAGTCTGGGCAACAGAGTGAGACTCCAACTCAAAAAAAAAAAACACAATACAAGAATAAAACAAAAAAATGAGTTGAAAACACAAAACAGCATGCAATCAATTGTCAAATAAGAAATATAGTTAAAGGATAAGTAATATGATTTGGAAGGAGGTAAAGTAGAAAATAAAGTGAAGACTTCTTGGAAACAGACATGCATGATGATCATTATAAATTGGTATGGTCTCTTTGGCTTTGCAGAAGCTTGTCAGTTTAATAAGGTCCCATTTGTCTATCTTCTCTCTTATGACCTGTGGGTTTCGGGTTTTGTACAGGAATTGGATGCCAGTTCCGATTTCCATGAGAGTATTTCCTTCCTTTTCTAAGGTTCTTATGGTTTGAGGTTTTACATTTAGGTCTCTGATCCATTTGGAGTTAACCTTTGTGCATGGGGATAGATAGGGGTCCTGTTTCAATCTTCTGCATGTGGTCAGCCAGTTTTCCCGATCCAAGTATCACATGTTCTCACTCATATAACGGACCTTGAACATCCAATGTAATACTATAAGAAAATGACTGACGGTACTGGGAAACTATGGGGGGGGATGGAATTAACGGTAGCAAATATCGGTCTGGGGATGGGAAAACACTTCTTATCAACAGGGTGCCTGAATGAAACATAGTTGTACACCTAACCCTTAACTGTACCCCACAAAACCATAATAAAAAATATTGATTAATAAATTAAAAAATAATAATAATAATAATAATAAATTGGTATTGTCTCTTGTCTTAGTTATGGAAGAGAACCAACAGAAAGGAGTGACCCTCTATTGCCCATTGACTGCAGAATGAGCTCCTGGAGTGAATGGTCGCTATGTGATCCTTGCCTCAACCAAACGGTAAGCATTCATCTCTGCTCCCCCCAAATAGAAACTGTATTGCTAGCCTCTCCAGGACAATGATTATAGGAAAGAAGCCCCCACAACTGAGTTCCAAACCTAGAAAGAGAGAAAATCATCTGAATGTATAAGGCTAACATTGCCAGAAAATCTGAATGCTGTGCAAAATGCTCAATGAATGTCATGAATCTCATCTTCTGTATAAAAGATGACAAAACCTAAAATGCAAAGTGGTACTTCAAGTAACATCAGTGTCTCTTCCACTGCTTCTATCTTAAAACCATTGAATCATTGGGTTTGGAGGGCTGTGGTGGTGTGGGTTTGAGTTTAGACCCTTTTTGGCATTAGAATTCTAACCTTTCCAGCTGGTTTTGTGCAGTTTCGTTCAAGGAGCATTGAGGTCTTCGGACAATTTAATGGGAAAAGTTGTGTTGACACTGTGGGAGACAGACGACAATGTGTGTCCACGGAACCCTGTGAAGTCAATGAGAATGACTGCGGGAATGATTTTCAGTGTGATACAGGTAATCCATGACCAGTTGCTCATGTGGGTTTCTGTATGCCCTCATGAGTGAAAAGAAAAGAACATGCTTCTAGACACTCAGACTTCCAAGTGTGAAAAAGCCGCTAACAAGGGCCATCTATATGTTCTGTACAAATAATTCAATTGTGTGTTTCTGATACCTCACCTCCAGCATTAAACTGCATTTGATAACTTCAGAAAGAGCGAGAGAGAAGATTTGGCATTAGACACACTGTGTCTTTCCCGATTTTGATTGCAGGCAGATGCATAAAGAGGCGACTTCTGTGTAACGGTGACAACGACTGCGGAGACTTTTCAGATGAGGATGACTGTGAAAATGATCCACGTACCCCCTGCCGTGACAGAGTGGTAGAAGAGTCTGAGCTGGCACGGACAGCAGGCTATGGGTCTGTATTTCACTTGAATTTTTCCAGAGAAAGATGAGTGAAAATGATCTCCATTTATCTCACTATGATAGAGTGGTAAATTTGAACAAAGGGTACAACTAATAGAGCATATGGGTCTGCATTCTTTTGCAATTACATTTGAGCTTCAAAGAAGTGCAGAATAAGTATCTCAGGATAATTTGGACAACCTGCCTGGCTTCAGTAGGGGTCTGTGGAACAGACTAGATCATCAGGATGCTAGATGATTACTTCTCAGTCGAGTGGGAGATGAAATCTCTCATCTATGAACCTCTGGGAAACCACAGCAACCTTGGCATGATATGTTCACATTTGGAATGAGTTGCCTGGCCGTTCATTCAAATATTTCAATTGCTAGGAACTTCTTCTAGATCTAGAATCAATTATAAGTTCCAGGAGGTTGACCCAGGAGGAATGGGACTAGAGAAAGCAGTTCTGATGCCAGAGGATGATGGTTTTGAGGTTCTAGTTCTCATTACAGAGAGCTGACGCTTCACTTATTTGCCATACAAAATCTAGGAGCTCTGGAGTTTAGAACTCAGGGTTATACACAATAGACTATATTCAGAGATATTTCTTTCAGGAACTGGGAAAATGACAGAGATCCAAGGTTCTGTTGTGTTCTAATCTATGTAGTCAGTGGTGTCCCAGGGATATCCATTGTATGGTCTCTATTAGTTGTTCTGAGCTGTTTATGGTTAAAGGTCTCTTGGTTGGATTTGTTGGAAATTGTTTCCCCCAAAAGATACAGTCATTCTTCTACTCAGCAATATAATAACAGAGTTGGTATATGACTCTATTTCATCAACTATCCTCATAAATCCAGTGCCTGGTTCATAGTTGGTGTTAATACATACTTGGCAGATAGATAAATAGGTGAATTCAATTAATTAATGGAAATCTGTTAAGTGCTTTCTAAAATACTGTCCATTGGTACTGGCTAAGACTGAAACTAAATCCCTACAAGAAAATTCAGGGATAGGACTCTTGTCCTAGGAATAGGGGTGCAGAGAGGAAAGAAATGGGAGTCATGATGAGAGTAAGACTGACAGATAAGGTAGAGGTTCTCAATCAAGGACGATATTTTCCCCAGGAAACATTTGGCAATGTCTAGAGACCATTTTAGTTGTTGCATCTTAGAGGGAATGGGTATAGGGGGTGATATTAGAATCTAGTGAGTAGAAGCCAGAGATGATGCTAAACATCCTATGATACACAAGACAGCTTGACCCAAAATGTCAGTAGTGCTGAGGCTGAAAAACCCCACACTAAGGTATTAAGTAGTTCCTAAGACAAGATATCTATCAAGTTTAGTTGATAATGTAGATGCCTCTTCCTTCTGAGCTAGATGAAACTTCCAGTTCTTAAATTTAAATAAAGAAAAAACTTTCATGGTACCAAGAGTTAGGCTTCAGATAAAATATTTCACATATCCAATATTCACTTTATAAAATCTTGTTCATCGGGCGCAGTGGCTTACCTCTATAATCCCAGCAATTTGGGAGACTGAGGCAAGAGGATTGCCTGAGCTCAGGGGTTCGAAATCAATCTGGGCAACTTGGTGAGACCTTGTCACTACTTTAAATAAAAAAAAAATAAGCCAGCATGGTAGCTTGCATCTGTAGTTCCAGCTACTTGGAAGGTTGATATGAAAGGATCACCTAAGCCCATCAGGTCGAGGCTGTGGTGGCCACGAGCATGCCATTGCACTCCACCCTGGGCAACAGAGTGAGACTCCAACTAAAAAAAAAAAAAAAAAATCTTGTCTAAGCAGCATTCAAATATTACCCACAGTGCCTTTGGCCCATTCCCTAAAGTTGAGAATTTTGAATCAAATGGATAAACTTAGGCCTCAGGCTTGGCAGACCCTCTTAGAAAATTTTACAGGAGTTTTCCAAAATCTTATAACTGGTTCACTGTGTACTCGAATGAGTCCTTACTCTTTTTGCTGCTTTCCTCATGGAGAGATTGTAAGTCTATGGTGAAAGCCTATTACTACTTTATTTCGCTTTAATTGGTACTCAGGAAAGAGTTTTCTCCTTAATCTAAGCAAAAAAGCTCGACATATGTTATTTATTTTCACTCAATGTAAATTTATGGTTTGTCTTATAGGAAAAGAATATAGAAATTTTGGCCCACTTAGCTGAAAAACAATCATTCATAATCTATTGGTTTCAGGGAAAAGATAAATGTGTTATATAGTGTTTGCCAGGGAGTTGCATAATGAGGCATCCCAGAGCTGGCTAAGAATTCTTCATGCTTTACTACGGTCAGAGTTGGTGTTGGGGACATCACAAGGCTAAGCCTTCAAGTCTGAGTAAGAAGGTGGGGCCCCAGCTGTGGGGAGAGCTCAGCTGCAGAAATAGAAAATGAGGAAGGCCTTGATAGCATCGGTCCGTCAACAATTTTTTATTAAATACCCCATTATCGTGAGCAATAATCGACAACAAATTTTGCCTCCATAAAACCCATTGTTCTATCATAGCTTTCATTTGCATATTTTGAACTTGTCAAAATCTTTTTCCACATTCTGTCTCTATAGATTTTCAAAACAATCCTGTGAGATTTTTAGGGAGGTATTATGTTCATTTTACAGATAAGAACTGAGTGAAATAAATAAGGCTTTATTTAGTAGAGCCAAAACCCGAGTTTCTCTGACTCATATAAAACTGTATATTTCCATCATGCCACCTTCCCCTGACCTTCTTCCCACAGCCCCCACCACTCACATCACTGCAAAGCCCATTAAGCCAACACCTTGACTTCAAAGCAGAACTAACTTTTAAAAATGTGAAAATTTTAAGGTAGCTGTTTATTATACAAATACTTGAATTAAGAACATAGAAGAATGGTGTCAATTAGCAACTAATATTTAGGAAGAGTTTCAAGACAACATGCTTGGTTATATTTGTAATATTCTTTCGTATCATTAATATTACATATGTATTTACTATAAATCTACGTTATTTTTATAAGGAACTATGTGAAATAGAGGTAATAGAAGAAAACACTATAATCATAGCAGCATACTTATAAAGTACTTCCACCCAATTCATTCTGGAAAACCTCAACAAGTTCTATCAACAGTCACATACAATTAGATTCTTTTATAAATGAAAGTCACAAGCACTCATGGTAATTAATTTATGCTTTTTTTCACTTGGAGGATTCTCTCATTTTAATTCTTATACCAGGAGAATTCGGTTGTATCACAAATGTTTCAACCTCTTGTCTTATACGCAGCTGAGATTCTCCAGAGTGTTTAGGGAAATCCCCCAACCCATCTTGCATTCATTGAAAAACCATAAATCCAAACCAGCTGTAAACGATGTACAATATGCTAGGAATTATTTTTTGTGATCTAAGCATAACACCACTTCTGTGAAGGGAGCTTTCTCTTCAGTTCACCTGGCAAATTGGAACCGCCTGTGGTTCCAGATGCAGGTGTGAAAACAGGCATCTCTAAGTGCTGCCAAAGAACACATTAAAAAAAAAAAAAATTCCCCAGGTGATGACTTTTCATCCATGAGAAGTTTTCGTGTTTCTTGGCAGAAAAAAATTGGCTCATTCTAGACTAGACTGGCTGTCTCTGTAGTAGTGGAACCAAGTCAAAATTTTTGAAACATTTCTTCCTTAGTTGTGCTTTAGACTGTGGATACACTTCATTGTAACTTTCCAGATGAATCCAGCCAAATGGCCAATTTGCTGTTCTGTAAAGCAATAACCTTCAAACTAGGATATGCGTATCGTAGGGTGCACACAAAAACTTTCAAGGGGAGACAGGTACATTTTAAGGAAGTAGTTTTCTCAATGATTAATTATTTAGCTAATCTATCTAATAATAACTTCTCAACTTCCATTTGTACAATTTTCCACAAATTTTATGAGCTTGACAACTCAACTGCATTCAAGTTGTCAAGTCCATCCTCCTTTCTTGACTCCCTTTTTTCCAATCTCTTAACTCCCACTTCCCAAGAGCAGAGTGCACTCATTACCCATCTTACGCTTTACAATGGTGCGGAAAAACCAATAAACAACTTCAAGTCTCGGTACTCAATTGGACTTATTAGAGTTAGGATGTTTATCTTGGAAGTTAAGTGGTCTCCAATTCTTTTTATCAAAAAATGTTGAAAGATGACCTAATCAGTTGTCAGATGGTGAATTTAAGAATAATTTTTGATGAAAGACTACCATGCAAACTTTTGGGGGTATAAGAGGGGGACCCAAAAATCTGGAATGATTTTTTAGAGGGTGAGACCCTTATAGGACAGGTTTCCCCTGCTAGGCATGTATTGTAGGAACCCATCTGCATCAGTGTACCACCTAGCATGGTGAGAGTCTGTGTTCAACTTCAGTGAACTCTTTTTTGTGTGTGTGTAAATTCTCTCAATGCATTTGCCCATTTCATGATGGGTGATTTAAGAGTGCACCTGTTCACACCATGCTGAGGGTTCAGCAGATTTTGACCACAAACAGCATGACCCTCAGACCCTACACTCCCTATTCAGCCTATCTCTCCCAGGTGATTTTTTTTTTTTTGGTTGTTTCCCTGATGAAAAAGTCCTCAAAGGGAAACGGTTTGCCTATGTGAAGAGATGAAACAAAAAAAATAGCAGAAGCACCAAGGGGCATGGAAACTGACAAGTTCAAACACCATTTAAAGCAGAGGAAAAAGCATCTCGATAGGTGTATCAAATGAAGAGTACTTTAAAGGTTACTGAAGTTTAAGCATTGAAGAATGAATACACAATTTTTAAATACATTCATTCCAGGGTTTTTTGGATTCCCCTCGTATAACTCAGAAGAAGATCAAAGACTTATGTGACATTATTGTGATGACATTTCTTCTATTCTTGTCTATTCATTTTTGTGAGTGAAGCTTCTCAGCTTGTATATTTATAAAAATAAGGAGTAAGAATCAAATTGATTCTGAGCTCTGTCTCTTTCTAGCACCAATAACACTCACCCTTGGATGTAGGAACTAATCTATTAATTTAAAAAGAAGCTCCACTCATTTCATGGAGATGGCTTTCCAATAAAATTTTACTTATGTTTAGAAGTGATTTAAAAATTTTTAACATATTTATAAATACTATTACTAACAGGTAATTGTTAAAATACTTAGATCCTACGTTCAAAGAATATTTAGTATTTTTGAATTTCAATTAATATTCTTTTGGTACAGAAAAGCATGACAAGGTCATCAATAAAAACTTTCAAGCATAAACTACATTGCATGAGGTTAAACTTCTGTGGGGGAAATGGAATAGAAACAAGGATCAAGGATTCAAAGGAGCACAGAGAATCTAGGAAATCTCTGTACTTTCTGTTCAAATTTGCTGTGAATCTAAAACCAAATGTGCTGTGAACTCTAAAAAACAAGGTCTATTTTTAAAAAATACTTTAAAATGTCCAACTGTTAGAGAAATAGCAATGTTGTGATGACCCACCATTACTAAAGCATTGAGATGTATTGAACTTATTTTTAAGTGGCAAAATCATTATGTATTAAAGTACAAATATGTATAGCATGCTGGGAAATTATATTCTTTGTAATTATTTAAACATTAGTTGAAAAATATTAGATGACACACTGAAAATGTGCAGGAAGACAGTTTACCAAAATATTTTATAGGGTATAAAAGCAGAATATCTAAAGACCACTACCTGAAAAGCTGCCAGGTACATTTCCATCTCCAGGCTCTTGCTCATCTATTCTTCCTGCCCTTCTAGCCCCATCTAATTTACCCACCCTTCAAAGCTGAATCAAATCCTTCTTCTAAAATTCTTTTCATGACCCTTCCATGGTGATCTCTTCCTTATTTGACACACATACCCTCAGTATCTGCAAGAGAATAGTTCCAGAACTTTCTGTAGAGTCCAGAATCCTCATGTGCGCAAGTACCTGATATAAAAATGACATAATATTTGCACATAATCTACTCACATCCTCCTGTATACTTTACATTATCTCTGGATTACTTATAATGCTCAATACAGTGTTAGTGTTATGTAAATTGTTGTTGTATAGTATTGGTAAGGGAATAATAACAAAGAAAAAAATCAGTACAGATATAAATTTTTTTCCATATACTTTGGTTCCCTGACTGGGTGATACCACAGATATAAAACCCACAGATATGGAAGGTTGACTTAACATTTTTTAAAATGTTTAATTCTATTTTTAAAAAATTAGTGATGATATGTTCAACTGCCTGTCAGGAACTCAATTCTCAGAAAAGGAGAGACTGTGTAGTAACTTTAATATTACCCTCTATTGATTACAAACACTATATAACACATATAGTAGTGTCTTAAGAGATAATTATTCTAAACAATGGTTAATTTTATTGTTAACTGAAAGTAAAGTGATACAGAGTCTCTGTTATTGCAGATACACAGAAGGATACAGTTCCATCAAATAAAATGATGCCACTGAGGTCTTGTTTAGGGAGAACACAGATCATTTGTTTCCAATGTTGTATGTCTTTGAGGTGGAGGAGTTGCATCAAAATCTTAGTGATACAAAAATAAATATTTGTTGCTCATGAGACTGGGCTAAACTGTCAACTCTACCTCAAGCTACACTGACTAGAGTGGTTTCACTTCTCACAGAACTTTGGGGATAGGCTGGGGTTGCTGAGGTAGCCACGCAATGGGGCAGCAGCAATGGGGCAGAAGCCCTTTTCAAGGTGATGGCATAAATGCTTCTTCATGCCCAGGCTCTGAGCTGGCCCTCTGTTGCTCTCAACTATGTGCCATTGGCCAAAGCAAATTACATGGCCAAGCACAAAGCCTGGAGGAAGAGAAATGCCCTTCATCCATGAGGAGCCATGGCAAGGGAGTAGATGCAGGGATGCATGAAGAACCGGAGTCAACATTTTAATCTAACTTGGTTAACTTTCGTGGAAGAAAGTAAGCCAAATATACAGGTATTTATTTTGCTCATATTCAAGTTAATAGGTCTATTTTTTGGCCATAGATAGAAACTTGAGTGCCATAGCATTTTTCATGAAAGATATATTTGGTGGGACAGGTAGTGAAAGATGATTGATTTTATCTATGTTATCAGTCTTGAGAAGGATATCCATGTATCAACCCTTAAGTTACCTTCCATTAAAGTCAAACCACTATGCTTTTCTTTATAGAGTCAAAGTTTATTTTAAAATGTGATCTTTATATAAAGATGTTGTTTTTATCTGACCCAATGGCAATAGGATACTCTTCCAATTATTTTTCTTGCATTAGTAATGGGTTTATGGTAAACCATCCAAACTCTTTGACAAATTGTTCTTGAAACCAACAACTGAATTTATAATCCAACTCACTGGAGTTAGGAATGTGGCCTATGGCAATGGAAGAGTTTATACTTTTGGGCCAAGGTAAGTTATAGGTTTGAGGGTCAAACCTTCATTTGGGCCTCCTTAGCTTGGGCCCATTTATTCCAGAGACACTCTAAACAGCAATGACTGTGTTCCTCAATTAACAAAGTTATATTTCACAAAGAAGTAATTGCTTCTTGTTCATATATTAAGTCTACAAATCAAACAACCTTTTAAAAATATAAATAAGGTTTCTACTTATGAATTAAAGCTTGCCAAATAAATGTATTTTGCTGTGGGAAAAAGTAGAACTTTTGAGAATGCATTGCCGGGATGCTGAAATTTTTGTGTTCATCTTGGAAAGTACAATAGGAATAATATAAGCCTGAGGGGAATGAGGTTCTTGACAAGCAACGAGACAGCTGGAGGAAAAGGCTTAAGTTTAAAGAGAAGGGGAAGAGAGAGAGAAAGAGCCCCAATGTTGATTCATAGATGAAAAATTGCATGCATATGTTATATTGTCCCCTTGAGATGCTCTGTTCTCAAATAATTTAAATAGTTGGTATTACAGCATTGGTTTTTGGTTCACTAAGGGAGGTTAGGTAAGAGTTACAGCAATAGAGTTAAGACTCCAGGAGCCAGATGGTCCCATGTGGCCCCACTTATTGCGTTTCTTTCATTGTACTCTAAACAGTGCCCTAGTTGCCTAAAAGAGTTTATAAGGCCCTCCTAAGCTGTGCTTTCTGCCAGAGACACTGAGCCAAGGTGAACAGCCTCATGCTTCTGTTCCTGATTATAGCACACTCATATTGGGTGATGGTGACATGAACCTAAGCTGTCTCACTTTTTCCAGCTACAGAGGGCTGCCTTGCATTAGCTTGTGATATTTCTACTTCTGATACTACTCTGTTCATTCTCAGGATCAACATTTTAGGGATGGACCCCCTAAGCACACCTTTTGACAATGAGTTCTACAACGGACACTGTAACCGGGACCGGGATGGAAACACTTTGACATACTACCGAAGACCCTGGAACGTGGCTTCTCTGGCCTTTGAAGTAAGTCTCAGAAGAAAAAAAAACACATTGCTCAGTTTTTGGCTGAAAAACTGCTTCAGTAAATTTAATACTAAATAATGAGAAAAATTCACTAGAATAAGAATTTGGTGTGAACATAAGACTCCAAAAAGAGGCAATGTAGCTTGGATCTCTAGAAACCTACAATAGTCTATATTCAGTCCTCTGTAACATTCACCTAGTGGTAAAGATTCGGCAAATAGATTCCATCAAAAGAATCATCTAAACGTATGAGATAACTAAAAATTAAGCCAGTGCTTATTTAAGTAGTGATCACACTGCTTCCATGTTTTTGTATTTGGTGTGGTTTTTGTTTTGTGGTTTTGTTGTGTTTTTGCTGGCCTCCCAAAGAAATTCATCTTCACATTTGTTTTTCTTCAGTATTCCCCTATGAAGAGCCTTCTTGACTAATGTGAGTGGCTATTTTCACTCACCTCAAACTCCTCTATCTGTTGCAAAATGATTTCTTAAAATGATGCTTACTCTACACAATGTCATCTCAAACTTACTACCTTCCTAAAAGTCACCTAATTCTCTAGCACTATCCACAGACTGGACCCCCCCATTCAAATGTTTACTCTTTTTTTGCCTTCAGAGATACCATCTTTGGTGCAAGCAAGCTATAATAAAGAATAATAGCTTATTCATTCTGAACTAGTAACTACAATAGTCTGTTTCTTAAAATAGTCCCATTGGTAAAGAAGATCGAAGTGTTTGCTTTATTCAGTTATTACAAAGCTCTTATTATTGTTAGTCCCACCAATTTTAAAAACATATACTTTTAAATAAACATAGTTAATATACCCTTATTTTCTGACAGTGTTATAAATCAACCCCTAGCACTGCAGCCATAAGTGATCCTGTTCTTTTAGGAATGCTAGAGACTATAATGTTTGGACAGTTTGACCAGCATTCTTTTTACATGGATCACATTGTCATATTTCTTGTAAGTCAGGATGGATCAGTTTTCCACAAATCTGAGGGAATATTTTGGGTTGTTGATCTTTACTTCTTTAAGTACAAAATTTTGTGAAGGAAAGAAAATAATTTTTCTAAAAAAGTATAACATATTCTACTTTTTTAAGTAGAATATACCTAACATGATAACACTGACCATTGCTGCAGAGGAAGGGTTATGGTTGCATTGTCTTGTTTTGTCTGGGGTTCAGTCTGCACTTTGCAGTTTTTCTGTCTCCATCACTGTGACCAGCCTCTTAGCTTCTCTACAGGGGTAATAATTTGTGAGAGATGGGAGGGCTGCCCAGGACTGATCTTGAAGTTCCATTTGAAGAGTAAGCCCTGTTTTCCCTTACCCAAAATCCTGGAAACAGATGTGTTTTAGTATTTCAGAATGTTTGGAATTTTAGAATGGTGATGTGGTGCTTACCCTGTATGACTTACACTCCAGTGAAGTTTGGAACAGCATCCAAACACATCTGTATTTCTGTAGCAAGACGAATCTATGTTCACATATAGTGAGAGAAATGAAGACTATAGATACCTTCTTACCAGTTCAGTTCAGATTAATACCTCCAAATTAGTTTTGGCATCAAGCTTATAAAAATGCAGTTAAAAATTGTGGACTTGAATGTTTATTTGGTGCCAACTGAGGAATAGGGCAGTGGGAGTTCAGCAGGAACTTGCTAAGGCCTCTAAATCACTCCCTAAATGCTCCCATTGCAGGCAATCCCTTATTCAAATCTGCTGTGGTCTTGGAAAATAAGTACTCAAACTCGTTATAACCACACATAAAAGAACATGAACTTTTATGAGTGAAAGTATCTATTTTAACATCTTAGAAATAATGTTTTTCTTCCAGTCTAATACTTGATGGAATATGTCATCTATCCTCTCTTGTGTATTAGTACACTACCTAAAGTTACATATTATACTTCTGTAGAGCCCATTACCAATAACAACTCAATATATGAATAAAGTAAACGCTCACCAATTCTCATTGGAAGAATTAAATTTTTTAATCTTGTTTTGTTGCTTATTGGCAATAATTTTGTGTCTTTTATTTTCTGAAAGAATTCTACTGGCTCATTATAACGTGGGAGTATGCCTTAAAAAATGACATCTTATTCTGACATACTCATACTCCCTCATTTAGTATATCTTATCTGAAAAAAAGACTGTAGTTCTGGAGACACACTGCATGGGTTGGAATTCACCTCTTCCCTTAGCAGTTGTGAAACCCTAGTCAAATTTTTTATTATCTTTGTGCCTCAGTTTCCTCATCTATAAAAGAGAAATATTAATGCCTACCTTATGGAGATGAATACGTCTAAATTTGTAAAACACTCAGAAAGTTACTGGTGTGTGTCAAGCACATATCTGCTACTCATTTTTACAACATAATTAGTTTTTTTTTTAAAAAAAAACAAGACTAATTACATAATGAGTGGTCATATAATAGGTCAAGATTTATCAGTCACTTTATGGCTTAGGAGTAATAACAAAGAACAACTAAAGACTGTAAATAGGGAAGAAAATGATTACATTAACAAATTAAGTCCTTCACCATTTCTGTTCTTTGGGGGATCATCTCTTGACTTTTGTAATTGCAAGCTATAATTTGTAAGCCTAAATCAGGTTTCAGTTGTTCATTATAATTCTTCTTAAACCTGGATTTCCAGGAAAATGTAAGATTCAGAAGATGAATAAAGGTCTGCAAAATGCACCCAGATTCTAATCATTCTCTCTATCTCAAATCCTGCCAAAATTCTGAGTGACTTCTATATCATGTTAGCCTGTCAATGATTTCTTGTTGTCTCATAGCTTCCTAAATCATTTTACTACAGTCACTCTCCTTTCTAGCCACCTAACCCTTGACTTTGTCTTTACCCCAACTTTGCTGCTCTTATTTCTCCTACCCTCAGTTATTTTCTCCATCCGTCCTAGATTCATTTTGACTATTCTTGCCAACATTATCAATGTCCTTGCTTTCCATTTCTCCTATAATGCAGAAAAACTCTAATTTTGAATGACCTTTGTTGCTTTTCTGGTTCATATGTCATCTTATACTACTGAGCACTGTAGAGAAAAATCATGCTAACACAAAGACGGGTGGCATTATAACTTCGCTTGAGTCCTCCATGCTGCTAATAGGCCCAGGACACCTCTTTAGACTCTTCTCCTTCCAACTCTCCACAGAGGTAGGTTAAATCTTTCAGCAACACCTCAAGCTTTTACTTTACAATCCTGACCCTGGTCTTAGTAGATGGCATTAGCTCCAAGTTAGCCAAGAATGCCCAAGCTATAGGCAAGAATGTTCGCAGTTTTTTTCATTGAAGTTGTACTTGTACACAAACTTACTTACCACTCAGTCCATTCTTACATCCTTCTGTTTTATCTCAGTGGGTATTATTCTTTCTACTCCCTACTTCAGATCCCATGCCAAGTATCTTGCTAGGCATTCTCCTAAGCCTTAATTCAGTTTTTCTTCTCTTCCATTCTGCTTTTAATATAAAAATATTTTCAATACTCGTACCTAAAAAAACAAACAAGGAAACTCCTCCCATCTCTATATACCCATCTTGTCTACACTTGCTATCAACTTATGCACTTTGGATTCATTCCCCAACTCTCTTTTTTCTTTTTTCCATTCATCTCAAGCTTCTTTTGAGCTCCCTTCACTTAGGAGAGCCCTTAAATATTGGTGTTATCAGAGTTCCTACCTTTCTTCACTAATCTCTCTTTCCATATTCTCCTTGAGTGATTTCCTTTTCTCCTGTGACTTCAACTTTCACCTCTCTTCTGATGGTTTACAAATCTGTTTCTAGCCTCTCTCTCTCTGACCTAGACACTTGTGTATCCAGTTGTCTGCAATTGTCACAGTCAATGTACCTAATCTGATATCCAAACTTACTCTCAATTCCCTGCTTCTTGTTCTTGAATTCTCTGCATTGCTTAGTGGAAAAAATATCTTCCCAATCATCAAACTCTAAACCTGAGAGCCTTCCTTAAGACTTTCTTTAAAGACTCATCTGTCTGAAAGCCCACAATATGCAATAAATCTTCAAGTTCTATTATTATAATCTCTCTGAAATCTGTTCCTTATTCTTCATTCCCACTGCCACTGCCTTAGGCACCCATCATTTCTCCTCTGGGCTACTATAATAGTCTTCTTCGTTTACAGCCTCTAGTTTGTCTCAATTTCAATTAATTCCCCACACTTCAGTGTAAAGATAGTAAATCTGATCATGTCGCTCTGCTGCTTAAGTTTGGTGACTGAATAACTAAAGCCTTCAGGATAACAACCTCCTTTGTGAGGACTACCAGGTCATTCCTGATCTAGTTTTTTGGTTGTCGCTCCACCCTCAGCTTTCTCTGCTGAGTCATCCATCTTGAGTAAATGTTTCTCCTGCAAATTAATGCAATATGCTTTACTTTTCTCTCTATTTTGGTATTTATTGCTCTGTGTCATAAATACTCTGTAGTTAATATACTAATCTTTTTATTTATCACATAATCCTAAGAAACTAACAAGGTATACTATACTAAATAAAAGCTTATTGAGTGAATAAATAAATAAAAGCCAGCATATTGAACTCTAAAAAAGCTAATGTTTCTTTATATATATATACATATAGATATTTATAAATATGTATATATATTTTATTTTAAAGATGTGGAGTACAATTCAGGATTAGGTATACAAGTGGACATCGGACAAGTAAAGTTTGGGCCTCCCTTTAATCCCACTTTGCCTAGTTTGAGATCAGGTACACTTATTAATGTTGTGTTCCCCCCCACCCAGCAGTATCCAGCTACTGCCAATCCTTGTCGTATAGTATTATGGTAAATGTTCAGGGTCCACTTATGAGTGAGAACATGTAGTACTTTGTTCTTTTTTCTGCGATAGATCACTGAGTATGACCAACTCTAAATCCATCCAAGTTGCTGCAAAGTCCATATATTTGTCCATCTTTATGGTTGTGTAATATTACAACATGTATATGTATCACATTTTTAAAAAT